CTCTTCCTCCTTCATCTTCATCACCTTCAGCTCCTCATCTTTCTCTTCTTCACCTTCACCGTCATCTCCTCCTCCTCCGTTGTCACCTTCAGCTCCTCGTCCCCTGCCTCCTCCTTCATCTTCTTGACCTTTATCTCCTCATCATCACCTTTATCAACTGAGTCTCCTTCTACTCTCCCTCCCTCTTCATCTTTATGGCTCTCATCTCTCCTCCACCTTCTGCATCCCCTTCAGCTCCTCCTCCTCTTCCTCACCCGCATCTTCTTTATTGCCTTGATTTCCCACCTCTTCATATCTTTCCCCTCCTCTCTCTGGCAGTACACGCTAGAACATTTCAGTAAGATAGTTCTTAGTTCCTTTGACTACACTGGCAAAGCAGGTATCATGAGGAAGCAGCTGAGGTCTGTGGCAGTGGTTGAGGAGAGGTCAGAGGACAGCAGAATAACGTTGGCTTCAGATGGCCTGTGACCTCAAAAATGTCAAGTTCTGAGAGACATAAGGTCCTCAGGAGTTGTCTGTGGTCCCACAGTATCCAGGCTTCACCCTAGCCAGAGACCCCTTCTTGATTCCGGCCTCCTCTGGAGCCAGACTTGGTGGCAAGGTCTGACGTTGACTCAAATGCTCTGACCTTGGTTTGTGCTCTCAGTCAGAGCCCTGCACTCCCTCCTGTACAGCCTCAGCCCCATCCCAGGGGCACCTCTGTTCCTGCACGTTTCTCCACCTGGCCTGGCCTGTGTCTTTCTGTTAAGAACAGAACAAATCTATCAACTCCCATTCGTCAGGAAAAAGCTGTTTTATGATAAATAGAAGATTAACAGGAAGGGGGGGAAGTGTTGAAGGGAGAAAAGGATGCAACCTTTGAAAGCATACAGAGCTGTGAGTGAATCTTGTGTGGCCTCGAGGTACAAAATAACCGCATGTGGAAAGGGAGGCGTTGGGCTACGGTAAATTCCCATCCCAGGGGCAGTGGAAGAAGACTGCTCAGCGAGGAGCTGGACAGCCATTTTGGAGGACGCTCGGTGGTTTGTACTTGAATCTTGGATTCAGACCGTGTGACCTTCAGGTCCACATTGAAGCTGAAACTTGATGATTCTGAATTGGAATGGAAGACTGACTAGAGCCCAAATGTATCCTCAGAAATTCCGCAAGCAGCTTCATTACTGAATTACTCCATTTCTAATCTCACCCTCGTAATGCAAATGGGCTTACTAAAGCTGGCTATCAGGGAGATCTAATTTAATTTCACTGTCTGATGAAGATGATGTCTAGATGGTTCTATATTCTCGACTGGCTTTATTGAACATACTTTAATGTTAAGTGTCTTCGAATATTACATTTTCAGGTAGTTTCATGGGCTGCTCTCAGCCCCGAGTTTCAGATCTGAATGTTAACTTCGGAGTCCACTTTTTAGGTCAGCAGTGGAGTTCTGATGCCTCAGTAAAGTCACTTTAGCTTTCTCACCTGCAGTTTCCTCACCTGAAAAAATTAGTCAAATAAGACTTGGCTGCCTCACAGGCTTACTTCAAAGTCATATATAACTGAAAACTTCTAACAGAAACCGGGGGGATTATCATCTAATTTCTGTGTCTGTGGAGGTCATGCTCCATAGCCCTGACATACCGACGTCAAAAGCATCACTGCACTGTGGTGACAAGCCAGTGCTTCAGTGGACAGAGTCTCTTGTACAACAGAATTCTTGCCTTGAAGGAATAACAAAAATTTATCTGGGGACTTAAAGCTACTTAAAAATATTCTCCATATAAAAATAAACTTTAAGAATAACATTCGCGTAGCCATTAATTTAATTAGTACAAATCCTCATCGAAGCCAGTGCACCTGAGTATTTTCATGCATCTCTGTTTTTTTTCGACTTGGAAGTAGCCAGTGTTTTCTAACTGACCAGTTTACAATAACCACGGGAGGCACCTTGGCTCATCCATCGAATGAGTATGTTGGTCTGGTCTTTCCTGTTGCCAGCATCTCCTTCTTCCATAAAGTAGATGATCCCTCATTCTACCTCACAGAGGAAACTTGGAGAGCCCTGAAAAGTTATTTGCTTCTTTGAAGCATTTTCCAACAGTATAGAGCTCAGGAATCAGACCCTCGATGCAGATGGTGCCGTATTTACCAGGAGGTCCAGCCAATCAAAAACTCTCTTTCAAGGCAATTTGCTTCCCATTGATTTTGCCATAACCATGCCCATAGGTCAGCTCATTTACTGACTGTGTTTGGGACTCCCCATACAAGGCAGCATCTGAAACCCTCCAGCCTCAGCATAACTGAAGCCTTGCGGAGCTTAACAAAGGCTCTTTAAAGACATGGCAAAGGTAAAGAAGATAGGCCAGACGCAGTGGCTCATGCCTATAATCCCAGCACTTTGGAAGGCTGAGGTGGGTGGATCACCTGAGATCAGTTCGAGACCAGCATGGCCAACATGGTGAAACCCCATCTCTAATAAAAAATACAAAAATAAGCTGGGCGTGGTGGCGGGTGTCTGTAACCCCAGCAGGACAATCACTTGAACCCGGGAGGCGGAGGTTGCAGTGAGCTGAGATTGTACCACCACACTGCAGCCTGGGAGACAGAGCAAGACTCTATTTCAAAAAAAAAAAAAAGGATGAAGAAGCTGTAACATCTCTTAGTCCTTCAGGTTCACAGTCCTGACATCTCTAATCCTGACAACAAAGGCCAGCCTGGCTTCTGAGGCACCCCCAAGGCTTTCGTTGCCATCCCAGCATCGGGACCCCAGTTCCGCGCCTCTGCCTGTGTTCTTTCTGGTAGCCGCAGCGTTCTTACAGATAAGCTTCCTCCTTACCTTCGAAGCACTTCTCGGGCAAACCTCCTTCTCTGGCAGTGGGTGTTCAGGTCTGTGAAATTCCTTCACTTTTTCTTAAGGGTTTCTATCGCAGCAGAGATCTTTTCTTCCTTTTTGAGACTCGGCATGGCTGCAGCCTGAAAAGAGCCTCTTCCATCTCAATTTTAGAAGAAGAAAGAAATGGAGACAAAGAGGAACATCTGTCCTGCTGGACGCCACTCAGGTGTGTTTGTTCCATGGCAGAGAATCCTGGGGTGAAACCACGTCCTGTGTTGTTCTTGCGGAAAAAGGGCTGGAGAGAGGGTGAAGGCCTGGTGTGTTCTCAGGGCCAGAACAGGGAGGTTGCGGGCTGGGAGGTGAAGCTCGGCATTTGCTTCTGGCACTGGGGAGCCAATGAGGGCATCTCTCCGGGCACTGGCACACTCCTGTCTGGGTCCCAGAATGGTCACGTCACCGCAGTGTGGCAGTCACATTGGAGAAGAGCCATCACCTGTGTCAGACTTGAGCAGTGATTCATATTGATGGGTCTTAAAGTCATTGGAGGGGGCTGTGATCAGCATTTTTCAGATAAATCAGATGGAGTTTCGCTCTTGTTGCCCAAGCTGGAGTGCAGAGGCTCCATCTTGGCTCACTGCAACCTCCACCTCCCAGGTTCAATCCATTCTCCTGCCTCAGCCTCCCGAGAAGCTGTGAGTTCCCAGGACAGGGTTCCCACCACCATGCCCAGCTAATTGTGTTTTTAGTAGAGATGAGGTTTCTCCACGTTGGTCAGGCTGGTCTGGAACTCCTAACCTCAGGTGATCCACCCGCCTCAACCTCCCAAAGTGCTGGGATTACAGGGGTGAGCCACTGCGCCCGGCCCCCATATATATATACATATAACACACACACACACACACACACACACACACACCAGATTTTACTGCACTTTGCTTTGTTGCACTTTGCAAATATTGTGACCTTTATAAAATGAAGTTTTGCGACAACCCTGCATCTAGCAAGCTTGCCAGCGCGTTTCAGCAGTGTGCTCACTCCCGGTCTGCCTTGCCGCATTTTCTGTAATGAAGTATTTTTAAATCAACGTATGTAAATTGCTTTTTAAGACATAATTGCGCACCCAATAGACTACAGCATAGTGTAAATGTACTTATGTATATTGGGAAACCAAATCTGTGTGTGACTGGCTTTATTGCAATGTTTGCTTTATTATAGTGGTCTGGAACCAAACCTGCAATATTTCCGAGGCATGCCTGCATGGTTATCTAGAAATGTGTGTGTGTGGCCAGGCACGGTGGCTCACACCTGTAATCCTAGCACTTTGGGAGGCGAAGGCAGGTGGATCACAAGATCAGGAGATTGAGACCTTCCTGGCTAATACGGCGAAACCTCATCTCTACTAAAAAATACAAAAAATTGGCTGGGCGTGGTGGCTCATGCCTGTAATCCCAGCACTTTGGGAGGCTGAGGCAGGTGGATCACCTGAGGTCCACCAGCCTAACATGGTGAAACCCTGTCTCTACTAAAAATACAAAAATTAGCCAGGTGTAGTGGCAGGCACCTGCAATCCTAGCTACTCAGGAGGCTGAGGCAGGAGAATCTCTTGAACCCTGGAGGCAGAGGTTGCACTGAGCCAAGATTGCACCACTGCACTCCAGCCTGGGTGACAGAGCAAGACTTCATCTCAAAAAAACAAATATATATATATAGATACATAAAAAGTTAGCCAGGCGTGGTGGCACACACCTGTGGTCCCAGCTACTCAGGAGGCTGAGGCCGGAGAATCACTTGAACCCAGGAGGTGGAGGTTGCAGTGAGCCGAGATCATGCCACTGCACTCCAACCTGGGCAACAGAGGGAGTCTCTGTCTCAAAATAAAAGTGTGTGTGTGTGTGTGTGATGTATACATGTGATTTGTGTGTTTACTGACAAGGGATAGAAAATGTGTTTTGTGCACAATCAGGAAACCTGCTTGGCGACTCTGCCCCAGCCCGTGGACAGCTGCTCCTGTCCCATATGAGGTGATTAGCACCTGCGGGCGCCCAGTGTGCTGGAGCCTTTCTAATTTGCATACATCCTATTTGCCTGAAGTGGCCTCCAAGCCTTGTTTCCAAAGCTACCTGCCTGTCTCCGTCTTATCACGAAAATACACATTGCAATTCTATTTATTTGCCACCTCTTCCACCAGGCGGTGAGTTCCCAGGACAGGGTTCTGATGGGTCCACCTTCCTTCTGCTCCAACCAAGCTCACCGAGTGGACTCGTTTGGCATTTACATGGCCGTTTCCCAGGCATTACAGCATTCGCTTTACACTGTCACCTTACAGTTACAGGTGAGGAGAGTGAGGCTTTATACGGGGGAATGATTTAGCAAACGTCAAATAGCTGATAAGTGACAGAGGAAACTTTAGATTTCCTGCTTTAAGTTCCATGCACTGATGGCCTCGTAGTTACCTCTGGTGGAAAGTTTCACTCTGTGGCAGAGTCTCTTGACCTTGGCAACAGTGATGCTGGGCGCCAGATAAATCTTTGCTGTAGGCGGCTTCCTGGGCTGTGCAGGGTGTGGAGTGACATCCCTAACTTCCAGCACCTGGTGACCTCTACCCTCTACCCGCAAGTCGTGACAACCCAAAGTGACTGTAGACACTGCCAGTGTCCCCGGAAGTGGAAGTCACTGCTCTAGAATAACAATTTTGTAAACTGCTTATATTTATAAAACATACTTATTAAAAGGCGTGCATTTTGAATGTTTGAACAGAATACAGGAGAAAGTGTTTCTTTTTCCCTATTCCGCTCCAAAAGACCATTACTCACACCTGTTGCTTGTTTCTGTTCACAGAGATATTCATGCATCTGCAGGACCCCTACCCACCGCACTTCCCTCTTACAAAATCTACACTCAGGCCGGGCGCGGCGGCTCACGCCTGTAATCCCAGCACTTCGCGAGGCCGAGGCGGATGGATCATGAGGTCAAGAGATCGAGACCATCCTGGCCAACATGGTGAAACCCCATCTCTAGTAAAAATACAAAAATTAGCTGGGCATGGTGGTTTGCACCTGTAGTCCCAGCTACTCGGGAAGCTGAGGCAGAATTGCTTGAACCCGGGAGGCGGAGGCTGCAGTGAGCCAAGATCACACCACTGCACTCCAGCCTGGTGATGGAGGGAGACTCTGTCTCAAAACAACAAGAACAAAAAACAAAAAGACAAACCCTACACTCTTCTGCATATTCTCTCTCTCTTTTGTTTTTTTTCCACAAATGATTTGTGTAGGAGATTTTTTCATGTCATTATATATATAAAGGAACAAAATCATGGCAAAAGTATTCACTAACAACTGTGTTATTTTGAGTTTTATGTACCAACAATAAATTAAGATGCTCAACATCTTGGAATTAATCACATGATTGCTCACTTCTAATCAGTTAGTATGGTGAGTCCTGTTACCTGATTCTCCAGTGATTAAACCCTCACCGAATTCCTGGAGTCAACTCTGCTTTGTCCTGTTGTGGGTTCTTTTGTTTTGTTTTGGATCCTGTTTTCTGATATTTACGGTGCTTCTAACATACTGACGTAGCTATTGTATTCATAGGTGAGATTAGGATCTTTCTTGTGTTTTCTTTGTACCATTTTGGTTTTATTATAATTCCACCTTCATTAAAAGTGATCTGGAAGATTTCTTCCTTTTCTCTGTTTTCTGAAAGTCAAAGCAGTGTCATAAAAATGTAACCTTACAGAGTTTAAAGAATCCGTCTTTGAAACTGTCCAGACCTGGTCCTTTCATGGGTTTATTCGTTTATTTCATATGCTTAATTCTATATTTTCACTTCTGTTGTCAGCTTGAACATTATCTTTTGAGCCCAGCAACGTAATATGGAAACACCAGAATATATTTTTCCCACTCTCCGCTCTAAACAGCTCTACTCAGTGAGCTTCTCTCTCTCTTACCCCGTCACCTTTATTGCTTACAGTACTTCTGCGCTGCCACGATTTATCATATTTGCCTTCTATCATAGAGTTGTAATTCCCACACTTGTTTTGTTCTTAAAACTGCAGTGGAGCACATTCAATGTTTACGTCTATCCTTCTGTTGTGGTTTCTTTCCTTATCCCCCAAAATAATACTCCTTGATCTTTGACTGCACAAAAATATCTGCCTCTTGCTCTGAAATCTGACTGTTTTCAGTTGAGAAAAAAACATTTTTGAAGATTTCTTAGGAATGATTTTTTTGGATAATTTTGTGGAGAAGGCTGAGGCTAGCTAGAATTTTTATTTCCCTTTACGAGTGTCTTGGTACATTTACCTACACGCTCAAAGGATTCGTTTGTGATTATCAAACTCCAGTAATTTTACTAGTCTAGTCTGTATCTTGCTGTGGAGTGTTATAGATGGTCCTTTTCCCTTGGAATATAGCGAGGCTTTTTGTCTTTAGATTTGAGTTTTATTTCAGAAAAAACGTTCTTGAATTGGGCTGTGTACCACGTCCCTCCTGTTCTTGACGAACACAGACAGCGCTGCTGCTGCTTGGTCATTTTTGTTGTTAGTGTCTATTATTTCCTCCCTCTTCACTTAGGCTCTTGGCTTTCTTTAGTCTTCCTTCAAGTTGCTTTCTCAGCCATATCCATTGTGTGCCTCACACCTGTCCCAGTAGCGTTGGTTTGATTTCGTGCTGCTTCCAAACTGGCATTCATTCTGGCGATGGAAACATTTTCCCCTCAACTGCCTCTCTTCTGCCAGCCACAGTTTCGTTCACCTCTTTGTGCTCCTCCTACACGGATGTCCTGAGCTGCCTGGGCTCTGACTTAGCTCTTTATTTTTCTGTCAGTCTCTCTGAATTCAGTGGTCGGTCAGCTAATGGTTCTCAGGCCCTTGGCCACAGTTCTCTGACAAACGTTCATCTCCCACTTGCTTCCTTTTTTCCCTCCTTTTTTCTTCTGCTCTGTCTACACCCTGCTCAATTTCCTTTGTGAAAACTAACCCTTTTATGAGGTGAGTCCTATTAAAGGGTGACCTGCTTCTCCCGATCGTCTCAGATTTTTCTGGTGTTAGTAGAGGAAATGCTGTAACCTGGGAAGCCCCTCGTTTCTGGGCCAGCAGGAAGGTTTGTCACCTGGTACTTTACAAGTTGCTCTTGACCAGGGGTGCTTTAGGGAGGATCCAGGTGTGAGGCTGTCGGGTCACATGTGACTTGAGTACAAGGGAGATGGAGACGGGGTGACTTAGGGACCTACACACAGGCTTCCAAGCCCCGTGTCTCATCTGTTTGTTTCTTCTCTTCCTTCTCATAGCTGGATGAACTTTATCTCTTTTTTGGTAGGAAAACACGTTTTTATAGAATCAGTCTTCCTTCCTAAATTAACAGCATCCATATGTTTAAAATTTTTTTTTGTACTTAAAATATGACAGTTCTTACAACTCCAAAAGACATTTTTCTTAAGGTTTTGATATTTACTATGGTTTTCAATTTATTTAAAAAAAATTTAAGCTATAAAAACCTCTGATTCTCCCCCAGTGAATTGGCTGCCTCTGATTGAACACAGGGAAAAATCCATCTAAAGGAATATGAAACATTTGGAAATCCTGCTTAATATCTCTGAATTCTATGTTTCTAAATTTCCTTCCTGTTCTGGTGTTTTAAAACCAAAGTGGAGATGACTTTACTCTTCTGCTTTTTCTTTCTTCTCTTTCTTCCTCTCTCTCTTTTCTTTCCTTTCTTTCTCTCTTTCTTTCTGGTAAGTTTTGATCTGGTGCCCAAGCTGGAATACAATGGCGTGATTTGGGCTCACCTCTGCTTCCTGCGTTCAAGCTATTTTCCTGCCTCAACCTCCTGAGTAGCTGGGATTACAGGCACCTGCTACCACACCTGGCTTTTTTTTTTTTTTTAATTCTCAGTGGAGATGGAGTTTCACCATTTTGGCCAAGCTGGTCTCGAACTCCTGACCTCAAGTGATCCTCCTGCCTCGGCTTCCCAAAGTGCTGGGATTACAGCCATGAGCCACCTCACCCAGCCTCTTCTGCTTTGTCTTATGCAAGGAGGGGGTCAAGGAGGCAAAAGGTGGCTGAGTGAGAGTACAACTGGAAGCAACCCTTTTTCCGGGAGCTGAGGTAGGTGGGATAATGGGTGATGATCGTAGGATGGTGGGAAAGGTAGGGCAGAGTCAGTGGCCTTTAGATGGTGGCAATGATGTTGCTAACCCTGCTGTTGAGGCTGCTGAGGGTGAGAAGAGTCGAGTCATAGCATGCACCCCAGCTTCGCGCTTTATCCTCAGTGGAAACTCCGCTTCAATGTGCTAAGTGTTTCTGAGACTGTCAACAACTGCCTAATTAAAAGTCTCCATTGGCAGCTTGAAAAAGTTCAACAGCTCAAGAAAAGCCATCGTTATGACTTGAATATGGCTTGGCCCTACCAAAACTCATGTCGAGGCTCCATCCCTGAGGTGGTGATGTTGGGAAATGGTGCCTTTAAGAGGAAATTAGGTTGCTAAGAGGGATCAGTGCTTTTCTCAAGGGAGTGAATTCTCACTTGCAAAACTGGATTAGTTTCACGACAGTTATGACAGTTGGTTGTAAACAGAAGCTGCCTTTTGGATTTCTGTCATGTGACGCTGTCTGCCGTGTTATGACACAGGACGAGACCCTTACCAGATGCAGATCTGATCTTGAACCTTCCAGCCTTTAGAGCCATGAGCCCAACAAACCTCTTTTCTTTGTAAATTACCGAGTCTCAGATGTTCTGTTAATAGCAACAGCAAATGGACTAAGATAGCCACCACTAATGAAACTCCAGCGACTGCCCAGGAAAGGCTGAAGGGGGAGCAGCCCTCTGATTCATGAAAGCCATGAGCAGCCCTCCCATTCATCACAGGACATCAAGGGTGCTGTGATATCTTGGGATGGCCTAAAAAGGGGACTGACCTGCCCCAGGAATCCTACTCTACACTGCTCGTGAGCAGGCAGCCATAAACTATCCTTTATGAATTGGAATACAAGCAATTAAATATGATTGCCAGTTGAGTTTGGGCCCATAGCTAATGAAACCATAAAATATGTCATTGATTAGAAGAATGTTTCCAAAAGGTTAGTTCGTTTTTCTTTTGTAATCAAGTGTGTAGACCATAAAGTTCAGGGAAAACCCAGTCATCAATGTGATTTCCTAAGACCTGCTCAGGAAAACTCCATCTCGAATATCCCAGAATACATACCTGGGTGTTCTGTCTGCTATCTCCAGGGTGGGCCTCCATGGCAGATGACGAACTAGAGGCCTCATATTTATGCATCCTAACGTGTGTGAGGTTTTGTGAGGAATGGTGACGGGGCCACGTGATGCATGGCTTCTTGCCCCCAGGGAACTCTTTAGAATATTCAGGGTCAATAGAGCAACAATGTAAAAAATAAACAACGCCTGCTCCAGGTGGTCAGAGGGAGGCTGAGAATCATTCAGCCAGTGGTGGTCTAGGAATTCATGATAATAAAACCCAAGGCCACTCCTGTACCATTGATCAAATAAATGTTCGTTTCATGCCACAAATACGTCAGAGCTTTTTAAACAGGTTTCTGTACAACAATCTCTGAAATTTGTTGCTGTCAGTTCTATGGTGAGTCTTATTTTTTACATGATGACATGTCAGCATGGAAAGGGTCATTACTGGCCAGGTGCGGTGGCTCACGCCTGTAATCGCAGCACTTCGGGAGGCTGAGGCAGGTGGATCATTTGAGGTCAGAAGTTCAAGACCAGCCTGACCGACATGGAGAAACCTCATCTCTACCAAAAATATAAAATCAGCTGGGTGTAGTGGTGCATGCCTGTAATCACAGCTACTGGGGAGGCTGAGGCAGGAGAATTGCTGGAACCGGGAGGCGAAGATTGCGGTGAGTGGTTGTTGCACCATTACACTCCAGCCTGGGCAACAAGAGGAAAACTCATCAAAAAAAAAAGAGAGAAAAGGAAAGCTTCATTCCTTTACTGGAGTCACCTAGTTCTTAAATGGTACAATTCTCACTCAAATCTGGTCAGGCAGCTCCCGAGGCGTGTGTCCACAGTGTGTGAGGTGTGATGTTCCAAGCCATGCTGAAGAGGGACCAGCATCTAAATGCACTGTTTCTGCAGCGAGCTGCCCTGGAGAAGCTGGTCTGGGAGGGTAGCTGACCTCCTTAGGACCTGTATTAGTCTATTCTCATGCTGCTAATAAAGACATGCCCAAGATTGGGTAATTTATAAAGGAAAGAGGTTTAATCAACTCAGTTCCACATGGCTGGGGAGGCCTCACAGCAATGGCGGAAGGCACAGGAGGAACAAAGGCATGTCTTACATGGTGGCAGGCAAGAAGCTTGTGCCGGGGAACTCCCATTTATAAAACCATCAGATCTCCTGAGACTCATTCACTACCACGAACAGCATGGGGGAAAGCCCCCCATGATTCAGTTATCTCCGCCTGTGCCCACCCTTGACGTGTGGGGATCATTACAACTCAAGGTGAGATTTGGGTGGGGCCACAGCCAAACCGTGTCAGGACCTGCCCCTGTCCTGTGTGCTGTGAGGTCCTCAGGTGTGGATGGGCAGAAGGTTATGCTGGCAATGCAGATGAGAGACAGCTAACGACGTGGACTCTCACAGGTCAGATCCTTCTTCCCAGAGACAGCAGAAGCCATTGCAGTTTTTAGGTTGCCTTTCTTGGTCCGAAGGGGAAGGAACACAGGAGGACCCAGACAGTAGCCAAGCAAGCAGGGTCTCTGAGGAGAGAAGGTCAGGAGGACCGTGGCATGACGTGACCAAACCCTGGGCTGGGACTGCAAATCTTGTGGAACACGGGTCACGTAGAGACAAAAACAAGCCAGGTGCGGCGGCTCACGCCTATAATCTCAGCACTTAGGGAGGCCGAGGTGGGTGCATCCCCTGAGGTCAGGAGTTTGAGACCAGCCTGGCCAAAATGGTGAAACCCCATCTCTACTAAAAGTACAAAAGAATTAGTTGGGCGTGGTGGCAGGCACCTGTAGTCCAGCTACTCAGGAGACTGAGGCAGGAGAATCGCTTGAATCCAGGGGGCACAGGTTGCAGTGTGCCAAGATTGCACAAGAAGAGTGAAACTTTGTCTCAAAATAAAAAAGACAAAAACAAACACAAAACAAATGTGGCAGAAGTCATAGGAAAGAGAAACACAGAGATAAGGATAAGAGAAAAGCCAGCACCATGGCTGATGGCTGGTTAGACGTAGCGAATATAGGACTGGCGGGCTTTGACGCGGTGGCCTGAAAGAGTGCAGGTTACAGCAAACTCCTGCTCTCAGTGAACGTGTCATTTGTCTACGGCAGATTTTCCAGGAAGGAAACAGAATGCTGGAAGGTGGTGAAGCTCACAGTGATTCTGATGATTCTGATTCTGGGGATAGTGGTGGTGATGGGGATGGTTGTGGTGTGTATCTTAAGCTGACCATAGGTAATAACATTTTGTTTTATCACGTATAGGCAGTTTAAGGTACACACTTTTTCTACAAATGTATTTACTGTTCTTTCTATTTCGCTCTTAAAGACTTTGCTTCCTTTGAGATGAGGTAAATAGTGTCCTGTGCTTTGTTTTATTTTAAGTTTTGTGATTCTATTCTGTTTTTATTTTTGCTATCAGAATTTTAACCTTCTCGTAATTCTGGTGTGCACGATGAGTAAGGCTTGGATTTTGTTTCTATGGAAATGTTTAAGCATCAGATTTTCCTTGCTGTTTATCAGATAAACCATCTTCCTCCCTTGAACCTGTACATTTGCTTAGGTCTGGTTCTGGGAGGTCACTGCTGTCTGCACACATCCTCGTCCCCACCACCATCACACTCCACAGTTCTGAATAAAAACACAACTTGTATTTGACGTGAAAGCTCATTTCCATTATTCTCCACCCCACCCCCACTTTTTTTTTTGGCAATATCTATTGGCTGTTCTTGGTAATCTATTTTTCCGGTAAATCTGAGTATCCTTCTGTCGGGTTGTAGAAGTAGTCTGATAGGGTTTTGACTGAGGTTACATGAAGCCCCGTGGACGTGTCTGGGTCGGGCCGCAGACCTTTGCTGCGTCTGTGGAGCGTCACCCGCCTTCCGCGCTTGGTGTGGCTGCTGGAGGCTGCTGGGGCGGTGCATACCCCCTCTTCTCCCTTCTGAGACCAGCCCGGGCTGCCCTCACAGCAGGCCCGTCATGTCAGTGTGAGTAGGGACAAGTAAGTAGTGACAAGCACAGCCTGGAGAGCCCTGAACCCCTGTTCCTCTGAACCTCCTGTGGCTCCTTTCTAGGGACAGACACTACCCTGTGGGCCCCTCCTCCCATGGCCTGCTCGTGTCTCCTGGATTTAGGGCATGAGCAAGCAGGTGACCTGGGGCTCATCTTCTTTCACAAACATGGTGGGTGCTCTATATGCTTTATGCGTAATTTATTTTATCTTATTTATTTATTTATTTTTCTAGACAGAGTTTTGCTCTTGTCGCCCAGGCTGGAGTGCAGTGGTGTCTCGGCTCATTGCAACCTTTGCCTCCTGTCAAGCAATTCTCCTGCCTCCGCCTCTGGAGTAGCTGGGATTTCAGGCAGTTGCCACCATACCTGGCTAATTTTTCTATTTTTCGTAGAGACATGGTTTCACCATGTTGGCCAAGATGTTCTCCATCTCTTGACCTTGTGATCCACCCGCCTCAGCCTATCAGAGTGCTGGGATTACCGACATGAGCCACCGTGCCAGGCCTATTTATTTCTTTGAGCTGGAGCCTCACTCTGTCACCCAGGCTGAAATGCAGTGGCAGTGATCTTGGTTCACTGTAACCTCCACCTCCTGGGCTCAAGCAATTCTGCCTCAGCCTCCAAGTAGCTGGGATTACAGGTCTGCACCACCATGCCCGGCTGATTTTTGTATTTTTAGTAGAGACGGGGTTTCACCATGTTGGCCAGGCTGGTGTCGAACTCCTGACGTTAAGTGATCCACCCACCTCGGCCTTACAAAGTGCCAGGATTATAGGCATGAAGCACTGAGCCCAGGCTTTATGAGTATTTTTAGAAGTTAATCCCAGCAGCATTCCTGGTAGAGAGCTAGTAACCCATGGCAACTGATGAGAAAACCAGGGAGGAGAAGATCAAGTACGTCCAGGGTCACCTGGCTGGAGGCTGGCTGAACCAGGACCTGGGCCTGGCCTGTCTCTGAGACCGTCTCTCACTTGCTGTATTATACATGTGCACCTAGTGCTGGGCCATCAGGAGATCAGATTCCATGGACAGCTCTGCCTACAGCTGTGTGGTTACCTGCGGGAGCCTGGCTGGCTGGGTGCTGGCAGTTCGCTGGTCTTCTTGGGTTGGATGTACGGATCTCCCTCCTGCTCTGAGTCTCAGTTGACATCCAGGAAGTGTCACCACCCAGCCAAACTGTCTCATCAGCAAATGAACACCCCGGCAGGGTTTGTATCCGGCAGCCTCTGAGCAGGCCTCACTCTCCCTGTGGGTCCCCCACTCTGGCATGTCTGTTTCTTCACCCAAGATTTAGTGAGAGCTTGGGCCCAGCACCCTGCAGTCCTGACTGTCAAGGACCTTCTGTGACTGCAGATAACAGGAAGCTGCCCTTCCTGTGAGAACTCCTTACCATGTAGGAGGGCATTTTTCTGTCTTCCTAGAAGAGTCTTCAAAATCCAGTTTCCATTTCCCACCCACTTCTCTTTCTCTAAGAGACTTTGATACACAGGAGCTTTGAAGAAGAAAGCTGCCTGTTTCTCCCATCTGAGCTCCGTGTACATCTTCCATGAGATATTCTTACACATTTTTGATCACCACAGTGATGTTAAGTATTTGGTCTAGTGAACCTTCTGATTTTTATTAACTTTTCTTCTTTTCATTTTGAAGTAGGTGTCAGATTGGGCGTGGAGTAGGAGAGGGCTGCATTTCCTGGAACAAGATGAAGTTAACTTTGGGCAGACTCCTGCATTGATAAGCTCACAGCTAAAAAATTGGCTCCCAATCCCCTGCAGTCTCCAATTATTGCAATGCAAATGTGATAGAAAAGAGCTGCAGGGGTCCCTGGCAGCTGAAAATCAGTCGGCATTGAAATGGGAATAGATGCACCGGCTCGCTATTAGAAAGCCAAGTTCCCAGGCTAAGGAAAACGAAAATTCCCTTCTCTGTCAAAACCGTCAAATTACTCACCCGAAGGGAGATGCCAACCTCTCAGCTCCTCTCTCTTCAATCATCTGCAGGGGCAGGCTGCCAGTTGTTCTGGACCCAGCACCCCTGCCCACTGCTCACAGATGCCCAGCCGGCTCTGGCCACCTGCATGCCTTTCAGGGAAGGAGAAGGAGGAAAGGTCAAGTTCTGCTCCAGCAGCCCTGAAACTTCCCTGTTTTCTGGCCCTCCCAGACAACACTGGTGGAGAGGAGGCTTCCCTGCTGCTGGAGCTCACCTTGTGAATAAGTAATGAGTCGGTGGATGATTCCACCCTGTCAGCTTCAGCTTCTGCAGCTTCCCGACAAACAGAACTCTGATTGTGATGGGAGAGTTGTTGCTTTGTTTTTGAATTTCACGTCATTAATATATTTTTCTCTCTAAACTTACTGTCATTGAGACTCTGGATGTTCAAAGATTTCTCTGTGAACCAATTTATAGCATATGTAATATAATCAGAGAACGAGAGCTGAGGGAAGCCTCTGCAATCAGCCAGTCTAATCCCACAGTTAATGGGTCAGGAAACTGAAACCCAGAGACAAGACCTGGTCTGCCCGAGGTCACCCATGGACTCAGAGGCTAAGCTGCAGCTTTTTAGAACTGCACAAATAGGGGCCAAGCATGTCTTCTGATATAGCACAATCCATCTGTCCATCCAGCCACCCATCCATCAATCAATCCATCATCCATCTTCCATCTCTCCATCCATCCATCATCTATCATGCATTCATCCATCTATCATCTATCCACACCATCTATCCATCCATCTATCCATTCATCCATCCATCCATCCTTCCATCTACATGTCTCTCCATCCATCCATCTACACATCCATCCATCCATCCATCTACACATCCATCCATCCATCCATCCTTGCATCTACACATCCATCCATTCATTCTTCCATCTACACATCCATCCATCCATCCATCCTTGCATCTACACATCCATCCATCCATCCTTGCATCTACACATCCATCCATCCATCCTTGCATCTACACATCCATCCATTCATTCTTCCATCTACACATCCATCCATCCATCCATCAATCTACACATCCATCTATCCATCCTTTCATCTACACATCCATCCATCCTTACACATCCATCCATTCATTCTTCCATCTACACATCATCCATCCTTACATCTGCACATCCATCCATCCATCCATCTACACATCCATCCATCTATCCTTGCATCTACACATCCATTCATCCATCCATCCTTACATCTACACATCCATCCATCCATCCATTTACCCATCTTTGCATCTACACATCCATCCATTCATTCTTCCATCTACACATTCATCCATTCATCCTTACATCTGCACATCCATCCATCCATCTACACATCCATTCGTCCATCCATCTATACATCCATCCATTCTTCCATCTATCCATCCATCCATCCATCATCCATGTATCTACCATTCACCCATCTATCAATCCACACATCCATTTATCCATTCAACATTCAACATCCATCCATCTGTTCATCCTTGCAACAGCTGAGAGAGGTGTGTTGTCCCTTTGATTGTATATGGGTGGAAATGATTGCATATGGGTAGGAATGAAAGGTATATGTGTATATATATATATATATATATATATATGTATATATTTGTGTGTGTGTGTGTGTGTGTGTGTATATATCTTCTATTGGGATTGCAGGGACTCCAGGAGAGAGGATAGGTGAAAGTCACCTAATTGGAAGCCCTTGTTGGCTGGGGTGGGGGTGAGCAGGGCTGTGCATGTGCTACAGGCACTGTAAGCCTAAGGTCAGAATCCAGGTTAAAGAGAGTTCACCGAGTGCAAAGTTGAGGATGAGCCCCCCCGGGAAGCGCAGATTCCGAAGAGTGGTGGTCGGTGTTCTGAAGCGCAGAAGTTTGGGATCTCTTCCATAAACAAAGTTCAGGGAAGCGGAACAGAATTTCAGCACCCTTCTACTTAAGGCTTAATGTGTGGTTACAACAGTCCGATTAGTCGAGGTAGTCTTTTTCTTTCAGAAAAGGCATATTTAACATTCTACATGGAAGACGTGACAGTCATGGGGTCTTGAGCGCTGTCTGGTCTGAACTGGGTACGGGGCGATAAAGCAGGCAGTGAATCCATAGCAAAGTCCTGGGTTGGAAGGGGGAGGCCTGGTACAAGGGCAGCGAGGAAGAGAGTTCATCTGTAATCTAAGAAGTGGAATTCCAAGCATGCCGCACAACTGTCTCCAGGGCTTAGCCTCTCCATTGCATGATACATAGACAGGGTCCTGATAGTTTCTTCACACATCTTAGCGAGGTGGGGATGCAGTTAAGGATGAGTGTCTGGTGGAATGGTCACAGGATGAAGCTGGACTGAGAAAGCTTAAAGAGGAGGGGCAGGAGCTCAGAGCAATCACAACATCCCTCTGAAAAGGTAAAAAGGACTCTTACCACATACAGAATGAACACTCCTCAAGATGAACTTACCTCACTGAACAGGGAGGTGCTGGCAGGACAGTGAACCCCATTCAAAGGCGAATTTGAGGAACTGGTGTTTACAGCGTAAGCCAGAAAGGCAAGCTGAAATAAGGTTGCTCCGTGAAAGGCAAAGCTGGTTGCTGACCTCCAGGGCAGTGAAATCATCGCCTGCAGTGTTATCTTCTTCACCAGGTAGAAGCCATTTGCATCTTTGCCAGGCAGAAATCCACAGCTTGACCAGCGATTTCAGAGTCTGGACGCAATCAGTGGGAAGGGAACATCTCTGAAGGACCAGCTCTCGCCTGTGTGGGCTGCTAGACGGTACCCTCCAGTGGCGTCGCAAGCCAGCCTTTTGCTTATCCCCAGGTCTTGGATGACTTCTATTAAGCAGAGGCGGACTCTGGAGTTGGAGTGTCATGTTCACATCTCACCTTTGCCTCTAGCAGGTGGCTGTGGGACAGCCCCTTCTCCCTGCTCTGAGCTGGGCTTCCTCATCTGAGGATGAGTATGGGGGATAGGGACGGTCATTGTGCATACATAGTAGGTCAGTCCCGAAGATTGAATGAAGTCTACATATGAAGTGCCTGGGCCAGCCACAACTCAATAAGTGTCAGGGATAATTACAGCAGCGTTTGAATATTAATGTAGGCAAGTCTCAGCATCACGAAGACTTTAAATAGCCACTGGCCTGATGCCAAAGCTACTGAAGAGGCCGTGATGGGAGAATGGCTTTGAAAGGCATCGATTCCCGTTTATAGAATGAATTGATGAAAACTCAGAGCTGGTGGGGAGGCAGCCGCCATCTCTACTCCGGACCCTGGGGCTTCTGGCAGGAATGCTTGGTGTGAGCAGGTTTGAGTGGTCAGATGTGTGCTTGACAAGACATGGTAGGCATCTGGGATGAGGAGGAGCCAGAACCCACAGAGCGTCAGGGGACAGGCAGGAAGGAGACCATGCGGGCTGCGTGGGGCTGGGTGGCCTTCCTACCACCCTGTCCTATCCAGGCCTCTGCTCTCAGGGACTCTTTGTCCCGGGACCAGGGCATGAGATCTGCCAGGATGGGGCTTACTGGGCATTCTGGGCTCCCAGTGGCAGCACCTGGTCACCCTTGCCATCCGTTGGTATTTCTTCCTTCCAATTCGCCTCTCAGCCGCATGCTGTCTGGCACTGGGCTGGAGCCTGGGCATCCCGTCCACTCAAATCTCTGTGATTTGGAAGGCAGCCCGTCTATTCTAAGCAACCCAGTGTCTCCCCAATCCTGCCAGCATCACCTAAGGTGCCGGCATGCTGAGTCAGGCTGCCCTGATGGCACTCTGGCTGCAGGGAAGCTGAGTGCCACCCTTGCTGATGGGGGCCACACAGTCCTGCTCTCACCCTGTGAGGAAGGCAAGCCCAGCTCCTGCCTGATGGGGCGTCCTCCCTTCGTCCCTGGAGCCTGAGACACAAAGCAAGGCAGAACTACCCAACCTGCCTTCCCTCCGCCCAGAGGGGCAGCTGCTGTGACCCTGTCGGTCCCACAGGACAGCCCGGGAAAAGCACGGTGCTTGCTTTCCCTCTTTGAGCCCACAGCCCTGGACCTGGAAGAGACATTCATCAGGCATCCCTCCTGGCTCTCTTCCCTCTCACCTGTAAACCTAGGTGCTTGCTGGTTCTGGCAAGAGGACCCTGGCAGTCTTGGTTCATTTGGGCAGCTAGAGCAAAATACCCTAAACTGAGGGCTGGAAGTCCAAAAACAAGACACCAGGCAGGTTCAGATGTGGTGAGGGCTTCCTGCTTCAGGGATGCGGCCTTCTTGCTGTGTCCTTATTTGGGGATGAGCAGACAGGCTCCCAGAGCCTCTTTAATAAAGGTTTGAATTCCCATTCATGAAGAATCCCCCCTTACCACCTAAGCTTCCAAAGGCCCCATCTTTTAAGACTATTGCACTGGGATTAGGTGTCAACAAAAGAATCTAGTGGAGATGCAAACATTCAGACCACAGGGAGGGCTGATGGAGCCTGGTGTTAGGGTTCCGCAAAAGACACAGCAGCTCTGGGTCTCTATTTACTGCGGGAAAGCAGTTAATGCCAGGAACCGCGTGTCTGCGGCATCCAGCAGAGCTTGGAGGAGCAGGCTCTGGACTCTGCTCCAGAAATGGAGCCCAGGCCCCACCCAAGCCAGCCCCACCATGTCATGTCTCCACCTTACTCATCCAAGAAGGCAAGGAGGAAGGAGCCGCAGCTGAGACGTGGCTTGGAGAACCAACCTGCCCGCAGCTGAGACGTGGCTTGGAGAACCAACCTGCCCGCAGCTGAGACGTGGCTTGGAGAACCAACCTGCCCGCAGCTGAGACGTGGCTTGGAGAACCAACCTGCCCGCAGCTGAGACGTGGCTTGGAGAACCAACCTGCCCGCAGCTGAGACGTGGCTTGGAGAACCAACCTGCCCGCAGCTGAGACGTGGCTTGGAGAACCAACCTGCCCGCAGCTGAGACGTGGCTTGGAGAACCAACCTGCCCGCAGCTGAGACGTGGCTTGGAGAACCAACCTGCCCGCAGCTGAGACGTGGCTTGGAGAACCAACCTGCCCGCAGCTGAGACGTGGCTTGGAGAACCAACCTGCCTCTGCAGCTGCGACATGGCTTGGAGAACCAACCTGCCTCTGCAGCTGTGACCCAAGCATCTGGATGCTGTTCTGTGGCCACAACTGGCTCCCGACACTCAGGAAGGTGGAGATCAAGATCTGGAAGGTTCCACAGCTGGGCTCACCAGCAGCGGCTGCTATGGAGGCAGGAGGTGGTGTCAGTGATGTGGCCCATTTTGCCTCCAGTACCTTACAGGCAAGTGGGTCTGGGAAATGCGGCTTTCCAGCTTTTGGACTCTACAGCCTCACGGGCACATGAGAAGGAGCTGAAGGATGCTGGTGCTGACCTGCCAACCCACCGACCCGCCATGCCCAGGTAAGTCCCCCTGTCTGTCAGGTGTGGCCTTCACGTGGCTTCCCTCCTTTCCATCTGTGTTCCTTCATTTATCAAAATGCCGACACCCATCCCATGGTAATCTCTGTCTTGGGCACGTAGCCTCAGAACAGCGAGGAAGGGTGTGCCTCTGCAGCTACAGAGCCAGCATCCCTGAGCAGCGAGTCCCCCATACCTGTCCAGACGAAGAGCCTGGCGCTCCTGTGGGAAACCTGATTTGGCCAAGGTCACAAGCCAGTTAAGTGCAGGAAGTAGGTGGTCCTGGTTTCCCTGAGAGCAGGGTCCTTGTGTTTCTGCGGCGCTGGTCCAAGCCATGGGCTTGGGCTTCTCTCTTCTGGGTTCAGCCCAGTCTGCACCAGCTCCCCTTGGAGTGGTAGATGCCTTCAGTCCTTTGCCGAATGAGAGAGGGACTGGCATGTCCCTCATCCTGTGCCCCGGGGAACTCAGGCCAATAAGGTGGGTTAGGGATATCTCTCCTCCAGATGCCCAAAGACCCCAAGGCCTAAGCACCCTGTCCCCCATGACTCAGGCTCAGTCCCCCAACAGCCCCTTATCCCTGAATTCCAGACTCCAGGGACGGGAGAGAGGGCAGCTGCTGTGTGTCCTGGCGAGGGGCTCAGATACCCAATTCAAATTCCCTCCAGTCCTCAGGTGACAGGCGGGCGGCCCTTTCTTCTGCAGAGGGAAACCTTGGAATTGGAATGCAGGCAGAGCAGGTTTGAATTCTGACTCAGCCGTGTTTGCTCTGTGACTTTGGATGGGACTGCTTAACTTCCTGGAGGCCTCCATTTCCCCCCCTGTAAACTGGAGGAGATTTTGACAACTTCCATGTAGGATTCTGTGTGCTCTGTGAAACAGGGCAGGAGTGTCCAGCATGGTCCCTGGCTCAGGGCAGTGCCCACTTAGAGGGGGGTGTCCAGCATGGTTCCTGGCTCAGGGCAGTGCCCACTTAGAGGGGGGTGCCCAGCATGGTCCCTGGCTCAGGGCAGTGCCCACTTAGAGGGGGGCTGCCCTTGGCCTTGGCTCCTGATCCCCATGCCCCTGTATTTCCCTGAACAGAAGCAAGGGCTGTGGGAGCAGGTAGTGCTGGTGCTTTGGAAGAGGAAGGAACACTGCTCAGGGGGACCTGGGCCAGAGGCTGCAGGTACAGTGT